CACACACACACACACACACACACACACACACACCACACACACACACACACACACACACACACACACCACACACACACACACACACACACACACACACGACGGCCGGTCAAGCCTTGCTCCACACCCCCAACCTCCGCCATCACGTCAGCTCAGAGCCCTCGATGGCAGTGCTCGTCTGCTCTGGCCCCAAGAGCGACCATCACCTCAAGCAGCACCCCCAGCACTAGCAGCAGTGCTTGCAGTTTCTTCAACTCCTTCTGCTACCCCCCTCCAGCATTGCCAGAGCCCTTCCCATGACCAGCAATCAGCGGGTAGCACTGCCGGGCCCTCGCACTCTGCCAGCACCTCCACTGCACCCAAGGAGAGCCTCCCTGGGCCTTCCTTGGGGCAACACAAGGCGCTCTACGATGATGTGCAGCTGCGGCTGTGGCTGTGTAGGCGCCTGGTGCAGGTGCGGCAGCTGCTTTGGCCCGAGAGGGCTGTGCCTGCTATAGCAGTCAGATGTTGAGGGGACTGTGCCTGCTGCATTAGTCAGGGTTTTAAGGGGATTGTGCCTGCTGCAGTAATCAGATTTTGAGGGGACTGTGCCTGCTGCCGTAGTCAGGATTTCAGAGCAGGGAATGTGCGCGCTGCAGCTGGTGGGGCTGTATAGGCTGCTGCTGCGGGTGGGGAACCTGCTGTGGATTGAGAGGACTGTGCCTGCTGCAAAGGTCATGGTTTTAAGAGCAGGGGATGTGACTGCAGCAGATGCTGTGACTGTGTGGGCTGCTGCTGCATGTGTGGCAGTTGCTGTGGCATGAGAAAATTGTGCCCTTGGTGAATAGCGGGTAGCTTTTGTTGGCGCCTGCTGCAGGTGCGGCAGCTTCTCTGGCTTGAGAGGAATGTGCGTGCTGCAAAAGTCAAAGTTTTGAGAGCAGGGGACTGCAGCAGATGATGTGACTGTGTGGGCTACTGCTGCAGGTGTGGCAGTTGCTGTGGCTTGAGAAAATTGTGTTCTTGGTGAATACCGGGTAGCTTTTATTGACGCCTGCCGCAGGTGCGGCAGCTTCTCTGGCTTGAGAGGACTGTGCGTGCTGCAAAAGTCAAAGTTTTGAGAGCAGGGG